GGACCAGACCGTCACCTGACAGAAGGTTAGAGATGGACCAGACCGTCACCTGACAGAAGGTTAGAGATGGACCAGACCGTCACCTGACAGAAGGTTAGAGACGGACCAGACCGACACCTGACATATTAAATCATTGATGCAGACAGTCGTCCTTCTGAGTCAGAGCTCCTGACGGGGTAAACATTTGTCTTCTCTGTTTGATGTTTTCAGTCGCAGGAAGTCCTCTCTGTCCAGAGAGAAGCTCCGGCTGCTCTTCAAGCACCACTGTGAGATTCGGAGGGGAATTATTACCCTCAAGGTGAGACCTGTACCCGTTAGATCCTGAGCAGGAACGGAACCTATCCAGAACTCTACTGCAGTAACTGCTGTCTGTGTCTCAGCCCTCCACAGTGAAGAAGTTCTGCCTGTCTGAACAGAACTTCTCTCAGTTCTTCCCTGATGACCCGCCCTTTTTCCACTTCAGCTCCACCTCTAATGGAGGCTCACCTGGACAGGTACACAGTTTTTTATGTACCCAAATTGTTCTTTGAACTTTTTTTTTATCGGCACTAGGTCTCCACAAGGTGCGCTGTTGGATCAGGATTGATCTGTTGTTACATATTTTCACCTCTGAACATCTTGACCTCAGATTTTCACCTCTGAACATCTTGACCTCAGTTATTAACACATTTTATTACGTCACCTGACTCTGCATTAATGTGGTAGCTGGTTGAAGACTTCTGACCAGCTGATATCAGACCATGGTTTCTAAAAGCTGATGTGTTTCCAGATGTGTGTGTCACCGCTGAACGCCCTGGAGGAGAAACTCAAGCTGCTGCAGAAGAAGGACGAGATGGCTGCTGCAGCTCAGATTAGAGCTCAGCTGAAGGAGAGGGAGGAGCTGCAGAAGGCTAGGAGAGAGAGGGATGACAAGGACAGGCTGAGAGAGGAGCAGAGACTACGTTTTGAGGAGGAGAAACACAGGAAGAAGGAGGAGAAGGAGCGAAGAAAGCTGGAGAAAGAGAGGGTAAGAAACTGATGGTCAAATGAAAGGTTTTCATAGAAAAAGTCTGACGACGCTCGTCATGAACCTGATCAACAGGAACGAGAGAAGCTAAAAGAAGAAAAGAAGAAATATGCTGAACGTCTGAAGCAGTGGAACCAACCCAGAGAAGATATGGAGTGTGAAGACTTGAAGGTCAGTAAACGCATCGGTAACCAGACAGACCGGGAGGTTTTCAACTAAAACTAGATCAAACTGTCAGACCTTCTTCTGTCAGACCTTCTTCTGTCAGACCTTCTTCTGTCAGACCTTCTATTGAACCTTCTTCTGTCGGACCTTCTTCGGTCTGACCTTCTGTCAAACCTTCTTCTGTTGGTCCTTCTTCTGTCGGTCCTTCTTCCGTCTGACCTTCTGTCGGACCTTCTTCTGTCTGTCATTCTGTCGGTCCTTCTGTCGGTCCTTCTTCTGTCTGACCTTCTGTCGGTCCTTCTTCTGTCGGTCCTTCTTCTGTCGGACCTTCTTCTGTCTGACCTTCTTCTGACTGACCTTCTTCTGTCGGTCCTTCTTCTGTCGGACCTTCTTCTGTCTGACCTTCTTCTGACTGACCTTCTTCTGTCGGTCCTTCTTCCGTCTGACCTTCTGTCGAACCTTCTTCTGTCGGACCTTCTTCTGTCGGTCCTTCTTCTGTCGGTCCTTCTTCTGTCGGTCCTTCTTCTGTCGGACCTTCTTCTGTCGGACCTTCTTCTGTCGGACCTTCTTCTGTCGGACC